AAAGAATGAGCGGAATGCGGAAGCACCGGATCAAGTTAATTAGAGATAGAGAGAAGTAAGTAGAGAGACAAGAAAAATAAATACACACCAAGTTTACGTGGAAACTCCAAAGACGGAGAAAAAACCACGGGCGATCAAGAGCAAGATAATTCCACTATGTAGAAATAGGAGAGTACAAGAAGTTCTCTAATATCATGAGAACAAAGATAATCTCTCAAATATAGACTAAAAATACTCTCTTGAATCTTTCCTCTCTATGTATGATTTTTCTCAAGTGTGTAGATTGCTGAATCAATTGCAATTTGCTCCAAATGCTTGATGCCTTATATAGGCATTGAGAAGAAGCGTATGCACCCAGAATAAGGAAACCTGGAACAAAACAAGGAGCAAAAAAGAGGAAACCATGCATAGAATCATGGCCTAAAATCAAGGAAACGTGTTTTCCTTAAAACAGGAAATATGGAAGAAATTTGTGCCATAACTTTACATCAAGAATTATGAATTCTTTCAACCTAAACTATTTTCCTTCAATATCTATCTAGATTGTCCTTCGCAAAATCCTACATTATAATATGTAAGTGATTTTCCATTATTAGTGATCATCTTAAAAGACAAATATGTTGTCATTGAATTTTTGTTTTGACTTTAATTCATTTCCATGGGTATCCATATTGTCACAATTTCTCCATTTCGATATCAACCACTTTGCGAAAAGTTTTGCTCTTTGGTTATTTTTTTTTTAAGTTTTGACAGCGAAATTCGGTACTTTCTCTTTTACCAAAAAACATAATTTCATAAATTTTGGAGGAATGAAACATTTACTTAATTTCTTTAGAGACGCTTTAACATTCGTTGTAAGCCTTTTTTATTATCTAGGGTGGCTAATTTTTTATCAATCGTAAATTAAGATTAATCATGGAAACAAATTGTTAAAAAATAAATAAATGAAAGCAATTAAAGTGTATAAAGAGTTTGTAAAATAAATTGGGACTAAAAAGTGAAAGATTAAGCTTGGAGATAAATAATACGTAAACGGGGTTGTAAATCAAATACAAATTATAGAAATGTTGATTAAGAACAATATAACAATTTGCCGATACGTGAATGTCGGGAATTTAGAATATACATGGTTATTTTTAAGTTCCAAATTTCAACACTTATTACATAATTCAAACTAATATTATAAACAAAAATTCTAACCACTCGTAACTTCTAATAACTTTTAACTATCTGGCCATTGAAAATTTTTATCTTCAATCTTCACCATATATAACATCCACGTTCTTGATTTCTTGAAATCTTTAACTTTTTCATCACAACCACGTAAAAGATTAAAAATAATAGAAAAATTATTTTTGACACCTAGTAAAAATAACGTACCAGAATAACTTAATTGAAAATTTGAAAAGGTCTATTTTAAACTGTTTTCAAAACTCAGTCAAAATAAATGGTGATTTTGACAAGAAAAAGTATGGCCAATGATTTAGTTAGCAGTGATGTGATCCTTATGGAAACTAAGAAGTGGGGCTGTTTTCTCAAAAAGGGAGGCTACTAATTTCATTTCTAGATAGGATAAAGGTAACTTTCCCAATTAGGAAAGAAGCTGAACGATGTGTCAATCATTTTTCATGCATCTCGTTCAAAATATGGTGGCCAATACGGCAATACCTAATGGATGACTTAATTTGTTCATCCTGAAATGCTGTGTTGGTTGCTGCTTTAATGGAGTATTGATGATTCAATTCTAATTAATATGGCTATTTATCATACACTACAAGAAAAATACTCATTACCCACGGATTATTTCCGTCTGAAATTTCAGATAACCTTACCGACGGATTTAGTCCGTGGGAAAATTTTGATGTTTCAGACTGATATTTCCCACGGATATGTTCCGTCTGAAATTTTAGATGCTATTACCCACGGATTCTGTCCGTGGGAAAAGTAGGATGCATATTTCAGACGGTCTTACCCACGGATTATTTCCGTGGAAAAATTATGATATTTTATCCATCTCCAATCTCAATGAAAATTAAAAAATATTCGTTAGTAACCTTAAAAAATATTATCATAAAAGATTAATAAATTAAATTATTAAATATTAATAAATTTTATAATACTAATTAATTTTTCATACCAACTATTATATATATAAAATTTATAATTAAATGATAGCATAAAATAATAATTTACTATATATAAAAATATATATATATATATATATATAATATTATATATAGTTAATTTTATTTAAATGGTGAGATTACATACTTTATTATTAAAATTAAATCATTTAAAATATCTAACAAGAATTAATAAAAAAATGAATTAATTGTAAAAAAATTGTAATTAATTAGATAATTATTTAATCAAACAAGACTTCTCTTCTAAATAATTTATGTCAATTATATTTATTAATGTAAGAAATTAAGTTCTTTAAATAATTTTTTTATGAATATAATATATTTTTATTTTAAAGTTAAAGTTTTACAATATGATCATAATATTTTATTAATTCAAATTTTTTACTATAAAGATAAAATTATTATTTTTGAATTGTTAATTTCTTTTATTAATTTAAGTTCCTAAAATTCATCTGTACAGATAAAAGTTGTATATTAGAATATATTTTAAGTGTTTAAGTCAATTGTAACTTTTCTTTAAAAATTTAATGTTAAAATTCAATTAGTAGATTGAAATGTAATATTAAATATTATAAATAATAAAATATATCATTCATAATATATTAGAAATTAAAATAAATTTTAAAAGAAATTGTATATCTATTCTAACATATAAAGGGGATACCCTTTTTCAGTAATTATGTTAGTCTCTACTTTTTTTTAGCATTATACCTTTTATTTTAAAAATTCATACTAATATATAAAGAGGATACCCTTTTCAGTAACTATCTTTGTCTCCACTTTTTTTGACCATTATACCCTTTTATTTTAAAAAATTAGTTACAATATTTTTTAATCAAATTTAAGAGCTTGAAACTAATAGATTAATCATAATACCAGTAGATCAATATACTTTTAATATTATTATATATGAATATGATCTCACCATAGGAAACTGATTTAACAACAGTCATATTTTGAAATATTTTTATTTTTTTAATTATAAATTAAATTTTAATATAAAATTTGTTTATTTAAAATATATCTAATATACATATAAATTTTAAAATTATATTAATTAAATATGTATATAACAGTTTATATTAAAAATCATTTCATTTAGATAATATAAAATATTTTATTTTAAACATCAATTAAATAATACCTTGCTACTTATAATTTATTTAAATATTTATAAATGAATATTACATTCACTCCATTGATTATTTTAATCCTTGTCTTTAATTTTATTATATATAAAAATTATTTACCTAATATATTTTAAAATTATTTTCATGAATTTTATTTTATTTCAATTATTATTTTAAAAGTTAGACTTAAACCATTCAATTCAATTGATATAATCATGTTAGTTTGATTGTTTTAAAGCAATTGATTTATACAAAAATTAGTAAGAATTTGTGAAATAATTATAAAATGAAATATTTTTTGAGTAATTTTTAAAAATTATTATCTTTTGATTTTAATTTACTTAAAGATGGTCATAGTATTTAACTTATGATATATACACCTTTTTTTTATTACAATTACACCTCATTCGTTTAAAAAGGCTAAAATTGCTGACAGTAGAGCTCGAATCCACACACATACTTATGTGGAGAAAGTCTTAAGTCTTTCCCCTTGACTAATTGGGCAAACCACCCACTTGTTGTTTTTGATAAGTTTTTAATATATCACAATGCGTTTCTTTATTTTTTTTCTCTATCAAACAGAATACGTGACCGTTTTAACGAGATTTTTTTTATTCACACATTTATCAGTTTAAATTATACTAAAATGATTAGAATATTTAATTTAACATCATTAAAAAATACCATTATAAGATTTTAGTTATTATTTTTATAATCTTTTAATTTAATCTTGGATTTTTTTATTATAAAACATAATAAATAAAATTTAAAATTTGTATCAATTTCTTTGAAAAAAATATTTAATTAATTTTAATATATAATAAATTTCATATCTAAATACTTATTATATTTTAGTTATAATTTTTTATAATTTTTGATTTAATATTAGATTTCTTTTGATTATAAAATATAATACATAAAGTCTAAAATCTTTATCATTTTTTATACAAATATTTAATTTTAATATATAATAAAATAAATATTATAATATTTATTATGATTTTAGTTATAATTTTTATAATTTTTTGATTTAATGCTAGATTTTTTTTTATTATAATATTTTAATGTATCTTATTTGAAATATTGGTTAATATATTTTATTATATTTTTATTTTAATTTATTATAAAATAATTAAAATATATTTTAAAATTTGAGTTAATTTATTAGGATTCAGCATTCCCACCAAAGCACAGTTTCTCCCTTTCGCTACTCTGAACCACTGGTGGTGGGAGTTAGGGTTCAGCTTCTTCGTTCTGAACCACTGGTGGGGTGTTAGGGTTCAGCTTCTTCGTTCTTCGTTCTGGTACACTTTCTTCGCTATTGCATTTTGATTTTGTGAGTACACTGTATTTTCGTGTGTGCCTTTAACATTATTAAGCATTCATTCATCCTTGCGAGATAGATACATTCATAAGACCTCTTCCACTTTCTCTTTCTCTGTCTCTCTTTGGCTGAAAGATCTAGCTTTCTGTTGTAGCTTAAGAAATTTTACATTTTCCCTTTCGAATGAAGTTGAGATTTTTCTAAACTAACAGGGATTTGAGTTAGGAAGGATACAACATTTGAGATGTGGCAAAATTTTTATTAGATAATGTTCATTTTACCTATATTTTGTGTTTATTTTGGGCGACTTTGGAATTTTGCTTTCTAATCCATGCCTTTTCCTGGTTTTATATTTATTAACACGGACCTGGTTAATGGAATGAAAGTTTTTGACATGGGATTAATTGAAAGTGGATTTGTGCGGGTCGTCAGATATATATCTTGACCTAGTGGAATAAGATTATTATTGTTATTACAAAGATGTTAATGTTGAGCTAGTATTATATGGTGTCTGGAAGTTAGACTCTTTGGAACCCCATAGGACACACGAAGAAAGAAAATTGTAGGGAGAAATCCTTACAAACTGGCATGTTGACTTTTATTCAAAAGGAATAAAACTAACTTTTTGGATGATGAGAAAACTTTGTACAGAGTCAGTTTGTGATGAGAAATCCTTCTCCTGCATTCGTGTTTGATTCTGATATAAAAACAGAGTCAGTTTTTTGTGCAAAAGCTAGTATTTTTTTTAAATTTTTATTCAATAATATATTTATATTATAAGAAACATTGGTGGGGACTGACACAAAAAGATCTATTTTTTCCAATTAGCATTTGAAAGCAAGGAGAAGGAAGAGGAATTCGGTGGGGACATCCTTCTCAATGCTGTACTCCCATTCCTACCACCTACTATGCAGACTACTCTTCAACAGCAACAACCAAACAGACACCAACAAGACCAACAACAAGACAATCGGCAACCAACAGAGGATGAACAAGCTAATGACCAACATCAACAACATTCACCTGGATATTCAGATTATTAGATATATTATGTTATGTTATAATTCTATTGGTTGTACTGCATTTTGTTTTTAAATTTGAACCTTAAACTTTATTTATGTATGACACTTTATTTTGTCTGAATGATTAAACTTGTTTTAATTCACATAATTATGATTCATTTAATATCTTTAAACAGGATTATTATTAATATGATTTTTAATTTATTTAAAAAAAATTTAATAATACCCAAAGAATTTCCCACGGATTAAATCTGTAGGTAATGTATCATGGGATATCCAGGGTAATTTCCCACGGACTGAATCCGTGGGTAATTTCCCACGGACTAAATCCGTGGGAAATTACCCACGGATTCAGTCCGTGGGAAATTACCCACGGATTCAGTCCGTGGGAAATTACCCACGGATTTAGTCCGTGGGAAGTTACCCACGGATTTAGTCCGTGGGAATTTACCCACGGATAAAATCCGTGGGAAATTTCCCACGGACTGAATCCGTGGGAAAGTCCGTGGGTAATTACCCACGGATTAAAATCCGTCGGTAAATATTTCAGACGACCAATTTACCGACGGATTTTTGCCCGTCTGTAATCCGTCGGAAATTGAGTGTTTCCCACGGATTTTTTTTATTACCCACGGATTTTAGCCGTCTGTAATCTTGAAATTTCTTGTAGTGATACTAGAACGTATTTTGGTGTAGCTTTGAAATAGTTTCTGTTAATATACTTATAACATGTATGTTTTATGGTTGAATTTTATAGAATGGGGGATTATAAAGTACTAAATCAAGAAGTTTTTTTTTTTTTTTTTTTTTTTGCAGGAAACGAAACACACTTACTTTCCAATGTAATATTTCTGGCTGTTAATTAAATTTCTTCTGTCATTTATAGTTTATCTGGACTATATAATGTTCTGGTCTTGGAAATTTAGAGACTATGTTATAGACCTTCTCCTAGTATCTTTTGGGAGTACCTATGCTACTTGATCATACCTATAATATTAATTTCATCCTCGTTTTCTTATCATTTGTAACTAACCACTTGGACATCATATATATGTATTATTTGGAAGACTCAAAATTAATGTAATCCTAGTCTTTGTTCAAGGGTTCAGATGACATGCATTAGAAGAATCCAGTCCAAAATTGGAGTACAATTCTCTTCGTGATTCAAACTTTCAACAACTAATTTCAGTTTATCATTATTAACCCTTAATTGCGCCACATCACCAGTCAAAAATTCAAAAGGTTAGAGAGTTACTCTCATGTTGCCTATCTTTAATTCCACACCATTGTTTCTTGAAGATGCATATCATAAATATTAGGCAAGACTTCATCTCTGGCAGTCTGACACGTCATTGAAAGTAAACTATATACTTATTAGAATGATATAAATATTCATTTTTGCAGATACTACCTATAGCATTTGAGGCTTTTAGATAGCAATCGAGATGAATGAGACCTTCAAACAGTTTTTTTCTACAAAAATTAAATACTACTCTAACATCAACAGAGACTTTCTAAAAAATTATCTAAATTTAAGGGTTAATAATCCAATCAGAATTCTACCATAATCCAAATCTTCTTTTTAAGTAAGTATTATTTACATCAGCAAAATATCCGAACAATCTTCCAATTGCTGCGAAAATTTTTTTTCCAGGGGTGCAAAGCAAGTACTGTCAAAATTTTCAAAGCTAGTACCATAACAATTTTGGAATGTAAAAAGACATTTTCTAGATGAATATAAATATTGGTGTTTTTCATATAACTAATATTAAATTATAAAGAATTCGAGATGTAATATATATATATATATATATCAATTGTTCTTATAATCACGAAGTCAATAACTAAACATTCAGTTGGGATGTAGGGTTAATCTAATACTTTTAGGATGAATTTTCATTTATATTAAAATAATGTTTGATATGTAGAAGTTATATTTTTCATAAATTTATTATTAGTTGTCAATTTTATAATACTACATGGATCATGCTTAATTAAGAGATATTAATTACTAACTAGTCGATTCTTCCATGCCTTCAACAATTTTTCTTTTTTTGTGTGTTGATAATAAGTTTATTATTAAATATATTTTTGTTTATTTTTCACAACATTTTAAGGAATGATACAATTATATATTATATTAACATCAAAATATACTCATATAAAAGTAATATTTTTACGATAAAAAATATTAACTTTTTACGATGTCACTTTAGTTTCTTATATTAATGTGTTATTATATTATATAATTAATATAATATTAATTTATGTAATTTGTATATGAAAATTTGTTGGAGAAGATTTTTGAATACTATGTTATAAAGATATATATATTCGTTAATTTTTTTTTGGAAAGTTTTGAATCTAGTTTTATTAATGTGTTATTTTTTAAATATTATGTCAATTTTTAACATAATAACGGATATTTTTATGTAAATTTTATAATTACTTTTACTTTAAAATTGTAATAATTTAAAATTAATGAAATTAATATTTTATGATGTTATAATTTTTATATTAATGTGTTATTATATTATATAATAAATAAAAATTTGATTTTAAATTATAAAGTTTGTATATAAAAATTTATTAGAGGAAATTTTTAAAAGAAAAAATTGTTGCAGAAATTGTTTCTTTTATATATACTATATTTATGTTATTAATTAGGACAAAGTGTAACCCAAAACAAAAGAACATTGCTTCTTCTTTTAATTTTTGTTGAAAGTCAAGAACCCTGCCTCTTAATATCGTAGAATATTAGCTAGTGGCAACAAGATAAAGCTATGATTCATATTCTTTTCTCTTCATCTTTTGGGGACTAAAAATAGTAATAATTTACATCCATTTAATTATATAATTATTAACTTAATTTACTCTTTATTAATCTCACTTTATTATTAAAAATTAACAGACTTACCCCCTCTCACACACACAATAATTTTTATGCTCTTATATAATGCATATTTGAATCTGCTTTGGTGATGTTAAATGGCCAAAATAACGTGAAAGCAAGTAATAATTGCTACTACTTCACACGCGTGCATGATGGAGAAACATATCATATAAGCTATATTTACTGATGTATCTACCAAAGGAGAAGTCTTTCTCAAAAGTAGTTACTGAAATTCCTCACCATACTTTTATTAGTCTCATACGATCATCTAAGACTAATTACATCAAAATCACAGCCTGTAGAATCTCACATATTACACAAAATGGCTTAACTACTCGCGCTGGACATAGCACATGACCAAAGAAAAAGTTCCATGTATATATAATTTTTCTTCCCATCTTTTTGCTAGAAGTAGATTAAGAAGCAAGCATGCACATTCCAACATGCATGCAATAGATGAGAATTGAGAAGTCGTCGAATTAGGGTTTTATGCCATTCAAGCACAAGAGGGAGGGATTTTGGGAATCCCTTGTCTTTGTAATTCACCCATTACACCATCAAGTGCTGGAGCTTTAAGACCAAGAGGTAGTGGTAACCATGGTTTTGATAAAACATCACTAATAGCCGCATCTATGCTCTCCTTTGACTGCCAAAACAACACACAAAAGTTTAATTAATTACCACAATGCATGAAATGTCAATTCTACTCTTCATAAAATATTTAAAATCTCTGCAAAGTAATATATGTATTTCTATATGCATTTCTTAATTGTTTGTATCTTGTAAATCTCCACATCAATATTAATGATAAGACCAACATATAATATATAAGTAATAAGATAAATATATAATATATAAGTGAGTAATAAGTATTTTATATACTAAAATTAATTTTATAAAATTGAGTTACTTTATAATAATATATGTATTCATTATATAAAACTTTTTAATATTTTTATTCGATCACAAATCATCAAATTATCAAATTATCAAGTAGAATAAGTTTCGTTGACTATAATATTAATAACACCAAAGTTGAAACCCTTAGTTGTAATTTATTTTTTTTGATAAATTTTAAAATGAAAATGAATTATTAACTACCGACGAGAACGACGCGAATCCTACAAATGGAACTTTGTATTTATAGACAGGGACGAACACTGATAAGTGTGTACACGGTGTCTTTGGAGAAACAGAGAATGATAGAAAGAGAAATAAGACAATGACAGGAGATAAGAAAATTAAAAGACACAAAAGGAAATTTACTAAACCGTGATTTACTTTTATTTTTATTTTTTTTTTTTTTTTGTACAGAACCGTGATTTACTTTGTAAGCATGCAAACATTTTCACACACAAGTAATAATCTCGAGCGACTTTGTTTTTTCAAAAGAAAAACTTTTTTAATCTAAAAAACACGTTTAATATTTTCAAAAATTAAAAAAATGTTTTTTTCAAATTAATCTCATTAAAAAAGTAAACTTTGGTGCAGTAAAAAAATCCTTAAAATATGTAAAAGACGTTCTATCATAAAAAAAAATAAAACAAAACATATTTTTAATACTATAATTAATAACACCCTTTTTGGATCTTCTCAAATAATCTAATCCACCAAAGTCTCATTTTTTTTTTTTAATAATAAAGTGATGATATCTTTGGTTACAAATTAAGAAACATAAACTGAAGATTTTGTGTAGAAATTACCGGATGAAAGTCGAAGAGGGGTGGAGGTGGTGGTTGGGTGGCCGGGATGCCAATGCCTGGATCTACTATTTGGTACATTGCATGGTGTGGTGGGATGCCCGGAACAGTTTGAGACCCAAATCTCTGCATCATATTAAGGTTTTTCCTCTATGGTCACTGAACCAAACTTGCTAACATTGTATAAAGTATTATACAGTAAAGTTGTTCGCAAAAAGAACCAAATTTGGAAGGAGAAGACAATATGAGTGGTTCCAAAAGAGTGAGGCAAATTTACCGTGGTTGTCAGAGGTTGTGGAAAACACGGTGTTCCCGGGGTTGGCGCGTTTGGAGCCTGTAATTAAGCATCAAACAAGAATATGCCTGTTAGATAAACAAATGAAACAAGGATCATAAACTTGGTTGTTTTGAGAAAGTTTTAAGTGTACATGTGCCAGTTACCTATTATGCTTTTGTTGTCCTACTTATTCAAATACAATGAATCAAGGACACGGCTTTTCTAGTTCTCTTAAAACATGTGACAACCTAAGCTCGAGAGATTAAGTGTTTCTTTATATGTAAGTTAAAAATGTTTTTGAAAGTTTCCTTAAAAAAAATTATTTTCAATTGAAAAATTCTCAAACAGACGCTTATTCATCATTGAAAACCTTTTATCTGATAACAATACCTATAAATATTTTAAAATACTTGACTCATGAAAAGGTCAAACGATGGAAAGAAAAATTATAGTACAACATTCTCTAATTAACATATAAAGGAAAAGAAAAAGTATATAAATATAACAAGTGATATATGATATGATAAAAAAAAATGTTGTATGAGAGTCTATAATATGCATACTCGTTGATGTTGATGCCAATATAAAGGATCCGGAGGCGGCGGAGATGGAGCTGTCCGTGGCGGCCATGTTGGTGGCGGCGGCGGATAGGATAAATGTTTAGGCCAGATGTGCATGAAGGACTGGTCCATGGTGTGATGCCCCCATACATGTAAAGGTCTAAAATGGTGCATTGGTGTCATGGGAGGGAAACCCATGGTTGGTGCAAGCCAAGGGTTCACTTCTCTCTTGCCTCCTCCTATACCTACACCTGCTAATTGCTTTCGTTGACTCCATCTAGCTGCTTCAGCTTCACGCGCTAGCAAATGCTTCCTATGTGATCGATATTTCTGCCACCAAAACTATATTTTAGAACAAGCTTTCCTAGAATTAAAGAACTTACGGGTTTGAATCATGTGTAGATGATCCTAGTCTAATTATAGCATGTCCAAAGCATAAACCAAATTTCTCCTTTACCAATACATGCATACTCAAAACCTTAAAAAGTTTCTATGTTAAAAGAAAGTAATTTCTCCTATAGCTGTGCATTTTTCTGTCAGTTTTCATTTGAACAGTACTTGTAAATGAATTCAGTTTGTTTATCAAAGAAAAAAAAAAAACTAGGTTCAGCTTCAATACAATAGAAGAAACAAATAGCAACAGTAACAAGCATACTCTATTTTTTTATGTGTTTTTTTGGGTTGACTCTTGTTGAGTGGTTGAAACTTGAAATATAGAAAAGATTGAAAATGGATAGAAGGAAGTAGGAGAAAGTTGAAGGATATATAATATATATACTTGAAGGTGGCTAGCAATGTTATGGCGAGTGAGGCAATCAATTCCCATAATCTCCAAAATCCTTGAAGGCACAGCCTTATCCACTCCTAGCTGCTCCACTGCTTGCACGAATCTCCTGTGCAATTCTGGGGTCCAATCCACCTTCACACAACCCAAGAAAACACACACACAACCCATTACTACAATTAATACATAAAAACCACTTCCAAATTAAATCCTAACACTCTTGGATCCACTCACTGCATCTCTCTCGCTCTCTCTCACGCACTCACGGTATACCCGTGAGTTCTTTCGACACACTCTGCAGCTTTAGGAAGACCCATAATAGAGATAGAGACAGATCCTTAAGGCTTATCCTTAACTGCACATGAACTTTCCAGAAATTAACCTAATTAATAAAGAGTGCCACCAATAGCACCAACAACCTAGTAACTTACCTTCACCTTTCTCTTCCCTTGAGGATTATTCCTTGATTGATGAGTTGATAATTTTCTTCCCTTTTCACTTTCCTTAGGGGAGGGATCCACCACCACTGATTCATCACTCTTGCTTACTATCTCCTGACTTGACCCCGAATCTGAAGAAGAATTGGCTGCTTTATTATCCTCTTCTTGTTTCTTCGTAGTAACTATGTTCTTCCCATTAGTATTGCTATCCGATTTGTTTTTATTTGGCACTGAAACTGAAAGTGGTGATGAGGCTATCTCGGATTCCTCACTGAGGGAGAATTCAGCAAGCATTTCAGGGTCCATCTCCAGATCCGGCAAGGCATCTTCTTCATCGTTGATTCCCATGAAGAGATCATCGAAGTTGATGCTTTCAAGCAAGTTCCCTTCTGAGAGGTCTGCAAAGTCATCGGTTCCAATTGAGAAACTCTCCATCGCTCCTTGGCTTTCATCTCTTGTGCTTCTCAAAGGTGACAAAGCCAACATGAATATATCCTAGATTTTTCACTCGCAACCTTTGTCGTTGGAATATATGATAGAAATGAATACTCGACTATTAGAAATTAAGGTGTGTGTGATAACTGATAAGCAGTGTTCACATACATATATGCCGGTGCATGAAAATCTAGAAAGATGAATAGGATTAATCAATTTTAAAATGGTTGTGTTGCCTTTTTTGGAAACGGCGAGGGAGTGTGTGAAGAATGAGCTAGCTTGGATTTCTCTCCACCACAAGTCCACAACTTAGGTCGAGTATCAAAAGAGAAATGTTTTGATGTTTTTGTTTGAGCGTGTGCTACTTGCAGAATTCATCTATATATTATTGTTTATAAAAATATATTAATCTTTAAACATTTAAAATAATTGTATATTAATATCAAAGTTACTATAATTTTGTATCAATTAAATGGTATTACACTCGATAGTATTAAATAAGATTTTGAGTTTAAATCTTATAAATAAAAAAATTTGACTATACGAAAAAAATACACAATTACCGTTAATAAAATCTGTGAAATTTCCATACTTATATAACATGCATAAATAAAATATATATAATTAATAGGAACATCTATTATTTTTGGTTTGTGGATGGCCTTTTTTGGGGTGTTGAAGGAAATTTTGAAAATTCAGATGAGATCATGGACTTTTGACAATTGTAATTAAATAATACTGCATGACACTTTTTCACGATACTTTTTACAGTTAATTTTTATCTTCATTCTCTGTACTGCGAAAAAGAGTTGTAAAAATAACGTTACTCAAGCGTCCGATCTGTAATGGATATGTATGAGGAGAATGTCAAATGAAGCTATTTCTGTCGCTGTATTGTAAGATGTAACAGTTTAGTCGAAGTGAAAGGGATATGTATAAGGCATGTTGATGTTGGTGGGCAATTTGACCCGCTACATATTTTCTTCTCTTAATAGATAATGTTTATCTTGTTTCCATGATAATCAAATAGTTGAAATGGCTTTTCTAAAATGTTAACTAGCTAGGTAGGCCCATATTCTACTTCTACTGCGACTTAATCCATGATTTGCAAAGAAAATTATGTACACCACGAATCTGAATTTCGTAAACTGACCACAAATGTTTTTAACATATATATTACATAAGCGTTCGATTGGTTTAAATTTGGAAAAATTAATTTTAATTAATGAAATTGATTGTGAATCGTTAAATGTAATTATGTTGTGTGATAAAACCATTTTGAAGTACATATTTACATTGAAATAACATGTATTTTTTACTAAGAAATTGCTTATCTCATCAGATCAGAGTAATATAGGAATGGGTGACTTTCTGGGAAGTTTCCCAGAAATTGCGCAAGTAAGAATAAAACATGCTAAAAAATGAAATATCGTGAAATAGAACTATTAAGAGGCCAAATATGAGGGTTCTTACATTAATAAATTTATTAAAATTAAACAAAAATTTTATCTGTCGAAATTATATAAAGATTTTCAAACAATTTCTAATGAATGTATCCGTCAGTAATTTTTGACGAAAATATCTGTTAAAAATTTTCGACGGATTAAATTATTTCCGATGGATTTTTTTCGACGCTCTCTTTTCCGACAGATTATGTCCGTCGAAAATTTACGTTTTTCTTGTAGTGGTTAATCCAACCCATGCGTCTATCATGCACTCAAGAACAATTAGAACTTGTTCAACTCTAGCACCCCACAATCTAAGTTATGGTATTGGGCCAATCGAAATATATCTTACCATACCTTGTACAAAATTTTATCATTAATGGTCAAGATCACACCCCAAGATATAATACCTAATTATAAGTAACTATCCTATTAAATTTTGAAATTCTCAAGTTCTATAAACCCATGACAATCAAGTATAAAATCCTTAATCCTAAAAGTAAGGATGGACATATTACACTTTTGAATACTTTGACTTTGGTTAAACAACTAGAAAAAATCCTAGTATGTTTTCCAAACCAAAACATTTTGGCACCCATTATAGGGTTATGATGAAACTTCTCCTACGTCCTAAAGACTATCAATTAAAAGATGTGTAAAAAGGTTTTGATGGAGATGGTGAGAGGTATAGTGTCGAATCATGAAGCTCAAATTCAACGATGGAGGAGATGATGACCAAGATCAATGACTTAAGGGAGGAGAATGCTCATGCTAGGAAGAGAGAGGAGGAGATTAGGAAGGAGAATGAGGAAATCCAGTGAAAGATGGATGAGATGGAGGAGACAATGCAGGCTAACCTCAAAATGACAGAGGGATATTAATAGAGGTGCCAAAGAATTTTAAACATTTTTCAGAAGAAATTGAGGTACAACCTATTCTAAGAGATTACATGGTGCCAAAGTCAATTCGTTTGACAAAACATAGGATCCTAGTCAACATCTGACAAACTTTCGTGCCCAATTGTTGATATGTGGAGGAAGTATAGGGGTACGATGCAAGATGTTCATGGGAACCTCGAAGAAAATGACTTTGAATAGGTTTAGTAGTCTATCAGATCACTCTATAATTGATTTTAACATGTTTAGTCAATTGTTTGTAGCTCAATTTATTGCTAACAAGTGAAAACCCCCAACCACACTAGACTCATTTGACTTAAAGTAACAACAGGGTAAATCTTTAAAATATTTTGCTTTAAAGATTCAATGAAGCCTCAATAAAGATTACATCCATTGATGAAAAAATGGAGGTTGCAACATTCTAGAAGGACTTACGGTCGAGGGTGTTTGATCAACTGCTATAAAGAATGAATTACTGAACAATGGCTGAAGTAAGAGCATATGTCTTAAGCTACATAAAGACAAAAGGAAGGTCAGATTAACAAGATAGTGAAAGAAGACAAGGAATTGGTCTTGGAAACCAAAAGAGGAAGAGATCATTACATCCTTGATTCGATTGGAACAAGAGATAATACTATTATGTTCCACGAAGGGAAAAGAATGTTAGACCATTGAGGTATGCAGGTCGACAAAGAGATTATTGGGAAAGGAACAATGAACTATAAAAGTTTACACCACTTAATGTGACTCGACAACAAGTTTTGTGGGACATAAATAATGCATCATTTTTCTTTTCTCTCCTATTACTGATCGACAGATGGGATCATATAAAAATGAATAATGTGAGTTTCACAAAACACATGGTCATAATATTGAGAATTATTTTGTTTTAGGGAGACAAATTGAACGTTTGATCGAGAAGGATTGATTAGGTAAATTTGTTAGAAGAACAAGAGAAGAAAGGAGAAGGTAGCTCAGGAGATAGGAGGAGAGGAGATAAGTGTGATAGGAGACAATATCTCCATAGGGATCATATTCAACAGAAAGCCAAAGAGTCCACCAACAAGTAATTCATGGTGACTTTAATATTGTTGCTGTCAGATTTGCTGGAAGAGGATCAACATCAATAGTACGAAAGAGATATGCCCGGTCTATATTGACTATATTAGAAGAATAGCAAGGAAACAACTCATATTATATTTTCAGACCCCGATTACAAATGTTATCCCCCTATGAGGATGACCCAATAGTAATTTTGACCATAATTATGGAATTCAATGTGAAGTGTACATGTGCTAGTGGATTAAGGAAGTTCGACAAATATCTTATTTTGGGGAGCTTTTGTTAAAATGAAGATACATAATGATTGTTTAATGCCTTATATAGGCACCTTAGTTGGCTTTGTAGGTGACCAAGTTGAGGCTTGAGTTATATATGTTGACCTTGAAACAACATTTGGTCAGGAGACACATATAAAAACTGTGGTAATTCGATATCTAGTGATTAATGCACAATCACCCTACATTATATTGTTGGGACGATTGACCTTGAAAAAATTGAGAGTAATTGTGTCAACATTACACTTAAAGGTAAGATATCTTTTGTCAAGGAGGAGTCAAGTTTATATGTAATACACTTGAAGGTGAAATATCTTTTAGTCGTTAGTAAAGTAAAAAAATTATTAAATGAAGATTTATTTATAAACTTAAATGATAAATTTATTAAAATTAATTTAAAATTATATAAAAACAAATTCACAAGTCTAGATAATTAAGTTTATTTTGTTTTTTTTTCTTCTAACTACTCACCAAATATTTAATCGGATTATATTTATATCCATTTTATGCCTGATATCTGAATGGCATCTGGATTTAATTTAGGTGATGGGTCTTTCACTTGAAACCGAAAGCATGTGGATGAAGGGACCATTGTGGGGGAACCATTTATTTTTCCTTCAGTTAATTGACATACGTTGTTAGTACTATACAAAAAAGACACAACTGTCTTCACTGATGGTCCTGATCATCGAAGAACGTGGACATAAATACCGTGTTGGCTCCTCAAAGTAGAAGGAAAAAAAAAACATTATTGTTGCTGGCCAGTCATTATATGTCATAACCAGGAATCTGATTTTCTCCATCGGAGGTGTCGTTCTCAAAGAGGTCCCCCTCACACAATAAGACAATCCAAAACCATGGCACTGACATAGAGTCATAGACCCACCCTCAATAATTCAACTCCCAAGTCTATTATATCCTCACACAAATAATATATCCTTAAATTCAGGACATTTATTATTTATGGCCCTCTTCAACTTTGAATACATGATCCAATGATATTTCCATTATTGGCCACATGGTACATATTTTACAGTAAAATATTCACTACTGAAGCATCCTAGCTACCATATTAATTTATATATATAAAGAAATTTCTATATTTTTTCTTATATATATATATATATATATATATATATATATATATGTGTGTGAA